CGCGGCGACCTGGTATTCACCCCGACAGCCTGGTATTCATACACGTGTCGGAACTCACCCACCAAGGTTTCCGAGAACTACGGGGGAAAAGATTTCATCCGAATCCGCGGCGCCAACCATTCGTGATTGCACCTCGATTATGTAGCGCATCCGCGTGGTTTGAAAGAGCCAATCGTTGAAAACTGAGCGGGGGGGACCACGTGATCTCGCGAACCTGCGGCAACTGCGAGAGCCTCCCGCTCGATTAATTCCCGATGGGAGAGATCGCGGAGACGGTGAGTTTCCGATGGGAGAGACCGCCGAGTGAGCAACGCATTGAGCATTCGATGGGAGAGATCGTGAGGACGGTTGAGCAATCACATGGGGGAGACCGCCGAGTGAGCAACGGATTGAGCATTCCGATTGGAGAGATCTCGGAGGACGGTTGAGTATCCGATGGGAGAGACGCCGAGTGAGCAACGCATTGAGCATTCCGATGGGAGAGATCGTGGAGGACGGTTGAGCAATCACATGGGGGAACGCCGAGTGAGCAACGGATTGAGCATTCCGATTGGAGAGATCTCGGAGGACGGTTGAGTATTCCGATGGGAGAGACGCGGAGTGAGCAACGCATTGGCATTCCGATGGGAGAGATCTGGAGGACGGTTGAGCAACATGCGGAGACCGCCGAGTGAGCAACGGATTGACCATTCCGATGGGAGAGATCGCGGAGGACGTTGAGTATTCCGATGGGAGAGACGCGAGTGAGCAACAGATTGAGCTCCCCGATGGGAGAGATCGCGGAAGCCGGTTGAGTATTCCGATGGGAGAGACCGCGAGTGAGCAACGCATTGAGCATTCCGATGGGAGAGATCGCGGAAGACGGTTGAGTATTGCGATGGGAGAGACCGCCGAGTGAGCAACGCATTGAGCATTCCGATGGGAGAGACGTGAGGACGGTTGAGCAATCACATGGGGGAGACCGCCGAGTGAGCAACGGATTGAGCATTCGATTGAGGGGTTTCGGAGGACGGTTGAGTATTCCGATGGGAGAGACCGCGACTGAGCAACGATTGAGCATTCCGATGGGAGAGATCGCGGAAGGCGGTTGAGCAATCATATGGGGAGGCCGCCGAGTGAGGCAACCGGATTGAGTCATTTCGATTGGAGAGATCTCGGGGACGGTTGCATATTCCGAATGGGAGAGACCGCCGAGTGAGCAACGCATTGAGCATTCCGATGGGAGAGATCTTGGAGGACGGTTGAGCAATCACATGGCGGAGACCGCGAGTAGCAACGGATTGAGCATTCCGATGGGGAGATCGCGGAGGACGGTTGAGTATCTCCGAGTGGAGAGACCGCCGAGTGGCAACGGATTACGCTTCCGATGGGAGAGATTCGCGGAGGACGGTTTGAGTATTCCGATGGGAGAGACCGCCGAGTGAGCAAGCAATTGAGCACTCGATGGAGAGATCGCTGGAAGCCGGTTGAGTATTGCGATGGGGAGAGACCGCCGAGTGAGCAACGCATTGAGCATTCCGATGGGAGAGATCGTGGAGGACGGTTTGACAATCACATGGGGAGACCGCCGATGGAGCAAACGGATTGAGCATCTCGATGGGAGAGATCGCGGAGGACGCTGCAGACAGTGAACCATAGGAACAGGTGAGTCTGGTTACCCTGGAATTTACCCGCCTCTCTACGGAGAGTTGGCACAATACCAGCCAGCCCTACCAGATCAAAGTAAATAAAGATAATAAAAAGGGGGTAGGGTGTTACATTATTGTAGGAGTCAAATTTTGTTCTTACACGAAAAATAATTTACAGTCAGCAGTGTGTATTATAGTCCAAATAGCGACAATATCATTAAATTGTGATGTACTTTGTCACAACAGCTCTTTACGAACAAAGGTCTACCAACAGCATCCTGGTCTTATGGCCATGGGTTCACGCGAACGTTTGGTTAGCATATAGGTATCCATACGCTGTATTCTCATCTTCTCAACATGAAAAGTGAGCTTTATCATCGTCACACAGCAACAGATACTGGGACAATATGGCAATCTGAAGAATTTTAAATTGACTGTACGCAGAACTCTTTCAATTGCTATTAAAATCAAATACATAATTTCAAACGAATATGAACTTCTTTTAAGTTAAGTTATAGGACCCAATTATCCCTCATTTATGATTGATTTGTTTAATAGTATTTAATACGCATTACAGTACTATCATAAAATGAGCACAAATTGATCCTGATACATTTATTTGCAATTATTTAATATCGGTAAGTATAACTTTATAAAAAGAAAAAAATTCCGTATTTTCACATTAGAAAATTTGTTCCAAATAATTATATCATATCAATATATTATTTCGTAATTTTAGAGATATCGGCTACTCAATAAAAGGACTAAGAATGTTTGCTCATTAATAAGTGCTGAGAAATTTCATGTAACTTAGTTACGCGTGTCAAATTTGTCCTTGACTTAAAGGCAACTTTACATGTAATGATGATTGATGGGGAAATGAAATATCTTTGTGAGCGTCAAAACGGAACCTGCAGAACACCTGTGTGTGAGGAGTTGCTTAACAATCAGAGGCGAAGACCACGTGTGGAATTTTGTTCAATGTAATTACCCACCACACGTTCTTTGGCAAAACGTTTGATGTCGTTACCTTTACATGATCGATAAGTCTTAATATTTCACCAATCATCATGACGAAATATTAAAAGAATTGAAAACATATTCAGTTTTAATATTTATTCTTAATATTTTGTATAAACATATACACAAGATTTAAAAAACGTGATCACTTGGAACATTGTCGTTGAAGTTAAAATCATCTTCTCTGGCGAAATTGCATAGTTCACGCAAGAAGCATACATTTTTTAAGAGTATAGATTTCTATTTACAATATTAACACAAGGTACAATAATGCAAATACCATAAGTAAAAATGGTATATATACGTATATCAATTTTAACCTGAAACAAACATTGATAATCAATAAACAGAAATGAGATGTTAATTAGTTGTTTTTTTTTGAAATCATGGAAATGAAAGTTATAGTAAATACACTTTATGGTAGAGTGTATATAACTATTTTATAAAAGTAATATATTTAGATTCCCGATCTCAACTCGTCCCATGGGGACATTTCCGTTTCAACTTACCGCGTAATAATTTGTATCCTTAAGTGGAAATATTGAATGACTGGTTACGTCGTGTTTCCGGGTGCCTTAACGGCTGTGGTCACTATTCCCATTAGTATATGGCATGTTTTTAACAAGCGAGGTGGTGGTGCCCTTACTCTGCAGGATGGTGAGGTTGGTCACCGACCTACAGGGTTTGCCCCAACATGGTAACTCCCACCCGAGGGGCAGAGCCCCAGGACAAGCTACAGGATTCCCAATACATATTCGGTAGGGCAGTGCATGTAAATGGGCCTATGTAAGGCGAGAGTATGAAATGCGGAAGAGAAAGGAAATATTTCGTGCAGTCCGAGACCCGTTTGTTAAGGGGATGCTCCAGCATTCGCCTGGTGTTAATCGGAGAAACCACTGACCACGTCAGATGGTCGCTAGAAGTCTCCTCCAGACAGAGGCTGAACTCGGCCTAGCTAGCAAGTGTCTGACGTCCTGTCAGCGTCGGGGCACCGCGACCTCAATGACCTCCCAGTCCGAGGCACGGACAAACGTTGAAGCTCTGAGACGTCTAAGCCCGTTTAGATTAAACAAAGTGCATTGTCGTAACGGGAGTATTCCTATCTATAAGGTGTGATTTTCTTTTTCAGTTAAACGTTTTCAGTAAATTGAGTAATATTTCAAAACTTATAGGCTTTGTTCGTAACATTTCTGACTCGGTTAAAACTTCATACTTACAGTATGAAGCGTTGAAAACATTGGGTTCACAAAATATCTGATTTTAAGCGTCGGCACGAGTTGTTACGTCAGACCGTAAAGGAAAGGCACATGGCAAGTTAACATATAAGAGCTTAGTTCGAGTCGGTGGATAACAATTTTGCTGGTTGAACAGATTTGCAGATTTTTTGCAGATGTTGTAGTATAATATTGCAGTTACAAATAATGCGAAAACATATGTGCTGATGTAGCACAGTTACTTTATATTATACTTTTAGGAAGAAGCGAAAACCAAAGAAAAACTAAAATGCACATACTTTTTCACATTATTGGCAACGGGAACGTATATCATAATATTGCAGTTTCTGCTACTTGTATCAATGTATCACTTGAAAATGGCCAAACAAATGTAAACGCAGCGCCTGCAGTGTATATTTTCAATTATTTCGTTAGTCACAAAAAGCTCTTTCTAAATTATACAAAAGAAACAAACTCTTAACTGTTACAATATTTGCAGAACACATAAAAACAAGGATAATTACACATAAATTAAATATTGAGAACTGCAGATCATCCAATACATTGCCTTTTGAATGCATATGTAGTACGACCCTATGGTGTCATTACGAAATGCCTATCTTACGCAAAAAAATATTCTGTTTTTTGAGTGTACAGGTGAGTCTCGTAACTTTAGTGCCTCCTATCATTTTTGAATGGTTGATGTTATTGAAATGCAGCTTTGACCAGAAGTATTTAGGTAACATTTCATAACAACAAAATGTAACATTTCATACTCATAACTACTATTAGAAGATAGAAAATGTTTACCTTTATAAAATATGTTTTAAAAATCCATCTTTAAAAATGTAATAAACAAGGATTTGAGAAAAAATGCGTATAATTTCTGCTTGAAGATAAAGCAAGTATAGAATTTTTCCTTGATTTGAACAAGAAACGCCTAAAATAATGATGCTGATCTCAATTTCGTTGAACTCTGAATTTACGAGAATTGTAAATTTAGAAATAGTGCGAGAATATATGTGTTATGGTATCTACTGTAGTTTTCACTACTCACTTTCAGCAAAAGCTCTCTATTTGCAGAAAGTAACTCATACCTGTAATATCGCTCCCGAGATTCAACCATAGAATTAACTTTATCCTTGAGTAGATAATGTCGTATTCCCTGGTAGTAATGTTTGAAGTATGTTGGCCAATCTATGTTACACACATCAAATGGAAAAATCTGTTGGTCTTCTTTCTTCAAGATAGTCAACAAATGGTGAGTGTTGTTGTCTCGAAATTGCCATTGTCGAAATAATGCAAATGACATTGCATTATTCGCTTTCAGTAACTGGGCATGCATTTTTAACATACTGAAAGAAAGTGCAGAAACGATGTTATTTAAAATTATAAAATGAACTATCAAAAGCAAAATAAACAAAAACTAGAAATGCAGTAAAAGAATATTAAAATTTCACTCTCATTTCCCACATGCTCTTTCATTTATCACCTGCAGAATAACAGTCCAAGATGATTGAAAGAAAATTCAAATGCCCACTATTTTCTTTTCTATATTGTATTATGTCTTTGAATACAGATCCAGAATTCAATACAGTCGTTAATACTTATCCGTATTCATTCAATCGTCTGCGTACATATGTTGTATCTAAACACGCTGTTATCACTATGTATACATTTATATTATTTACACAGAAACGTATGTATTTGATGATATATGCAACACACAATTAATTTGGTTATTTATTGTTCTACATATATTGCTAATTTGCGTGACAATATATCCTTTGTGATCACCTATCAAAATGATGCCACTGAAATGTAATAAATTATTTATGATATATTCCTATAGTCATTCATACGACGTGATCTTAAATATTTTTTTAAGTTGAAATAATAAGTCAATGGTGATCCCACGCAAATTATCATTATGTAACTTTCTTTATTACCAATTATATAACATCCGCATTTGTTGTAACTCTCCATATCTAGTATCATGTCGAAAATTACTTTACTTCATTGTTAGGAGAATGCGCAGGTCTGTTGGAATGTTCGCGACCAATACGGTGATCTATAGTTCTAACTTCGCCTCCAACTTTCCACTTTTAGAGACACCCCACTCCTCATGGCTATTTCATTTATTACAATTATTATATAGTTTTAATCCTCGTATCGAATTCTGATATCTTCACCTATGTTCCCAACTTTGTGAACCAAACAATTACAGAAAAAGTGTAATATAAATTTTAAAAAAATGATGAAATCGTATATCTATTGCTATTAATCGTAGCCTTTCAGAAAATAAGAATTTTTTAAGGACGCTTTTAACAGCTTGGTCGTACAGCGACCACTGTGATTGTTTACTTTCTCGCAACATAGTGGAGAAAAAGTTATTTAATGCTGGGCGAACAAACTGCGAATTAATGGTAGTAAAACCTTAATTACAAGGGTAATGAAAAAATGGATACATCTGGTTGATTAAGACTAGCAGGAAGGGGGAGGGGTAAATGTGACCCGAAGATTCATTCGATTTTGAATATAGGGTTTGTTTAGTGTTATTTTGTCAAAATCTCAACGGCAGTCTGATTATTTTGCAAGATATCAGATAAAGTACGAATTTTGGGCTTTGATTTTTCATATCACTACTCAGAGATAAAATTCTGAAAAAATGAGACATAGTTGGCATCTACAACATATCTTGGAGACTTTTTTCACAACAATAAGCGGGAATTTCAATTTTTTATAAATTATATTTGGTATTGTTCTATGTTATATTTTTAAGGTGACCCCTCCAAAAAATTCTTGCAAATCGGTATTAAGGTGTGCTTTACTACCGATTTTTTCTGATTTTTACTTTCCAATATACAAGTGTACATGCGTATATAGGGTAGGTAATGCTGTGCAAAGCAACGGTGGATTTTTGTCAGAAAAAAATCATTGCCGGACCCTGATAATAAAAATGTGGATAAATCCAGTTGCAAAAAATTTAAAAACTTCTCTTAAGACGTGGTGTAGCCAGAGTCCCTTTTTTGTGGGTCCTTGATACCGAAAAATCAATTTACGTCCGTCTGTGAACACTAGCAGAGCTTAATCCATGCGTATACTTTTTGCTCAATTGAAGACACTCCTTTATATGTGGCTCGAGTCAAAGCTTTAAGATTTTGAATTTTTTTTTAATTTTGGGGTACTTGACATGAATCTCTCCGGATATTTTCAAAATTTTCTTTAAAAACGAATTCAATTTTTTTCTTTAACATTCTTGCAAGAGTAGAGTAACATACACTTATAAATGTGGCATTGATCCGACTTTGACAGTTAAATTTGAATTTTTGAAAATTTCCGTCATGTCTTCCTACAACTACAAAATTAAAGATCGATGTTTTTCCTTCAATTTAAATATGTTGTCCATAATTGATGCTCTCATTAAGGTCATGTACATATTTTGGACCTTTATTTTTTTCGGGTAAAATGGCGTATATTTTTTTTCCAATTTCAAAAAATTACTAAAACAAAGTTTTGGTAGGGTCACTGAAAGATGTACTCATTCGCCCGAGGCCTCGCAGCGAGCAACCATTCAGCCCAGCGGATCAACGAATTCGGCTACTACTACTGTGACGTGTTTTAAGAATTTCGCTACAAGCTCGTAACTGCCTCTCAATGTACTTTTCAATTCAAGTGCTGTTCTTTTAAAGATAGGATAGATTTTTAGTCGCGTTATGGCTCCTAAGACAGAATCTGCGGAAAATCTTGTAATTCTGTTCAACATAAGAATTTGTTTAGTCGTTGGCTTTTATTGTTGGGAAATCCAACGAGCTCGTAGTAGGCTTATTATAATCATTATTATTGATATTTTTCTTGTTTTAATTATTAAACTTGACGTTAACCTCACTTTTATAAAAACAACGTCCCCCGACATCCCTGGTTTTCATGCCACTTTCCTACCGTCTGAGCTAGCTGAAAGGTATGGTGGCCCACCTTCTCCAAAGACGCGAGCGTAGGTGGCGGCGATTTCGTGGCTATATAATCGTGGCTGAAATATATATATAATCAGACAAGTCAGCTGCGATGAATTACAAATAATTATAACAGCAGTGTATCCAAACACCCTAGGATTCTCCAACCGGGAGATGTCGCTCTATTTCAACCAATCTAGAATGCGCGGAAGAACGGTGCGCCAACGCGGCGCCGAGAATATCCTCGTGGCTCCCTCCGTAAAAGCCTTCGCTCCGGTGATGGAGAAAGAAGTGCGCAAAATAAAGCCAGAAACGATGAAAAACTGGTCTAGAGTTTATGGCCTTGTTCTCTGGAGCTTTGTAAGTATTGGTGGCACTAAATGTCTGGGACGGAGGTACAATGACTTTGCATGAAATAGGTATAATGAAAATATAGTTACCGCAAAACACAGAAAAATGTATAATTTGAAAAATTCTGCGATAATGTTGGAGGAGAAAAAGTTCGGAATCAAAATCCAATAACATTAAAAAAGTAGTATAAGAGGAATAATGCCGCGAGGAATTCTTCGTTTTGTTCCGTTTTATGAAGAGTTTTTAGAGGAAACTGAAGCAAGTTCAGAGGTGGGTGGTCTGGACATGCATTCCAATATGGAAACACAAACTAAACAGACGGATCATGTCCCAGATGAAGATGTGCAAAGTTCATCGGCATCTCTTAATACAGTGCCAACCTGTGAACCGCTGCAGCCGAGAATATCTTCTCCAACTGAAGTTCTCAGATATTGGGCGCTGAGACGTTCCAATGTTCCAACATTAGTAGACTGTTTGAAGAAGAAAAAAGCAAACCCAATGTTCAAGTAATGCCGTATGTGATAACGTCCAGAACATGGAAAACCCTCCATAAGGACAACGCAGATGCAACTAAAAATGAAGAAAGAACGAAGGAAGTGAGAATTGGAAAAAAAGAAGAGAAAAAGTCCCTGATGGTACAGAAAGAAGGAAGGAGAAGAAATTGAACGGTTGTTTTGCTGGTAGAAAATGAGAGCACTAACCTCAATATCACTGCAACTAAATTTGTGAGAAAAGTGATATTTGGAAATAGCACTGAAAGAATAGGCAAACACAATGGTCAGTAGAAATCACACCATCTAGAAGAAACTAGTTTTCCCGTTTACCTCAGGGAAACAAACCTCAGCCTTGAAAGTGCCCATCACTATATTTTCTGCTTTATTTTAGTTTCATTTTATGAAATGCGAAGTATAATGTTCAACAATTAACTTATTAGCTACATAAATGTACACGTATGCAATAATTCATTTGCCGACTACGAATTTTATATTGTTAAATTAAACATTGAATAAAACACAGTAGTTGCCCTTGAAGTGCTCACACTGTGTGCTCTACCCTATACGAGTATTTTCTTTTTTCATTTAACAGAATATTAGCTACTTTTGAGAGCGTATTTTAAACGAAAACGTTTTAAAAAAGTGTTTGCATGTAATGTATATAACTCACACTGCATTTTTTCCCAGCAGACGATAAATCAAATCAACGAAGAAAGCAGGTAATTGCTCCAAAAATAACTGCTGGATGAAGCGTATACTTGAATGGCTTTGAAAAGAAAAGAATGGATAAGTAATAATTTCTGCCGGAGGCATTATCATTGCTGCAGCAGAACAGTATTTTACAAAATTTCCCCATGTGACGGGATTTCTTTCACCGGTGCAACAATTGTACACTTCAATTTTTTGTATTCCTCCCTGCATGGCTGTGCGCCACGCAGCACATATGGTGAGATTTACTACTATGTCTGCTGGAATAAAGTCTCCAACCACGCTTGGGTTTCCTAACAATCCATGAAGAAGCCCTTTGACTGCAGCTGCTATGAAAGGAGAGGGTCCATTCCAACCTTCAAGCCATCCAGGGAAAGGTTCCGCCATTGTTGATAAAACTGAAATGAGAAATGATGAATATATCATGTATACGAATATAAATGAGAAAACGTTTTTAAGTTTCAGTCTTTACTTTTCGAATACAGACCTATAGATGGTCTAACTACAGCAATAGGAATTTTCTTGTGATAATTCTGAAGCAAACTCTCAGCCAAAGCTTTTGTGTAGCTGTATGTGTTTGGTCGTTCACCCACTAACCTTGAATTGAAGTTAATTAAGGTCATAATAATTATAAATAATAATTTTCACATAATAATTAATTATTAATTTTAGTGTCAGTATTCTTATTATGACACACTTTCGGCAATAGTATCACACGTAATTCTATCATAAGAGGTTTTGTGCAATTCAATCACGACTACGAGTATTTCAAGTGAAGCTGATACACTCACTGCACTTTCTACGAGACTAATTAATATATCGTGGTTATTAATGCAATGTATCTAATAGATTATGCCTATTAAAAGTGCGATGCGACTTGTCAATCACGTCTTACTTTGGAGTGAGTGCATCAATAGTATCGTCATCCATTGCTGTGACGAGTTGAATAATACTTTCTGGATCATGAACGTTATTATAAATCTCTTCATCCACTTCCTGGCGATCGCAGTTGCAATAAGCAGTTGACATATAGACAAATGCCTGAAAATATTGGTCAATCAATTTGTGAGGTTTATTATTTAAGATTCACATAAATTGTGATGAATGGCAGATGCATTTTAATCACCTTGATATTTGGCATCAATGAGCATAATTCGGCAAGATGCTTTGTAGCGGTAGTGTTTATCGTTACTGCCGCTTTCAGCGGTTCGTTAAATCGTACTGTTGCTGCAACATGGAATACTACAGAAGCTGTTCTAATTAATATGTCTTGGTCTTTCGGATTGATGCCTAAACATGGTTTTGATAAGTCTCCAGATATTACAAAAATCTTCTTCAGATCATTAGGTCGATAATATCGTAAGCGATCGAAGACCTGAAAATAACAATTTGTAACTTGACTATTTTAATTAGAATATTAGTATGCGGCGAGCAGAATTAGTTGGTAATTTCCAAGCTCAATATCACGTGACCTTCACATCCTAACAGACTTCCTGCAGAAGACTCCATATAAACACTGCCGACATATAAAATCAAACGATGGTTGAATCTCAAATGTGTTTTAGCATTTGGAGAGTAATATATTTACGTACTTTGTTGATTTTCTCCTGTAATATTGAGGAGGGAGGATCTTACCACTCTTTTGTAACTGGAATCTTTAACCAGATTCTTGATTTTATCTATTAGTTTTGGTTTAATTTGTTTTCATCGAAGAACAGCAAAAATCTACTTTAGGAGACACATAATCTGCGCATTTTTTTTATGCTCCAGAATATCTTCCCACCCTATCTCTGTACACAGTTACGTGATGAAACATAGATTTATTCCGCATATAGTTACGATAATTGGTGGCATTATTTGATAATAATAATACAAATATAATAATATAATAATAATACAAATATAATAATATAATAGCAATACTGCAATAATAATCATTAAATAGTAATAATACCGAAATAATACAATAATAATACAATAGTAATACTACAACATAAATTGTTAGAAAGCAAAATAAATAAAATCACGTGTGAATCACAGCAACAAAATTAATACATCACTTTTGGGTACCTTATTGTTTATTGTCGGTTAGCACGTCACCTCACTACAACTTTCCATGCACTATCCATTGCACTTTCTCTTACCCGATTCCCTACCTGAAGATTCACTGAACGAAACAATACATTGCACTGCCCTGAACTATAAGTACATTTTTATTGTAAATACCAAATACAAACTAGATGATATTGTTAATATAAAGTAAATTATATTCGATCTAACATATTTCTATACATTTTTACAGTGCAAGGAAGCTTTCAAAGAATGTTACATGGTACATCAGGAAATTATAATTTTCATAATAAGTTGTTATGTAGGGTAGGTGCTGGAATTGATGATGTAACGATTAAACAACATAACAGTGTAACGCATTTAATATCACTATCACATCTTTTTGTTTTATTTGTTGAATTAGGTAAAAAATGAATTATTTTTCTTTTATATTCAAACTTTTTTTGAAATATTTTATGGTTGTAAAATTAATTATATCAAAGCAAATATTGAATCAAAAAATTAATTTTCAATGTACAATCATTAGGTAATCTTGAGAAAAAAAAGTTTACCATAAATTACCTATAATTAAAAAAAGGTATAAAATATATATATATTCATCCGAAAGGTTCAAGTTAAAAATGCGGATACCACTAATTCCTACATGTAATACTTACAAAATAAGCAATACAATAGTGGAAGAGACTGTAGTAAAAACAATTTAACAATATCTACAAGTTTTTTTAAACATGATAGAACATACATAATTCTATCATATATAAACAATGAATATTTTACTGAAAGTGGATTGTTAATGTGGTGAATCAGTAGTTAAACTTTATTTCTCGCAACATCAACAAACAGATACTCATAGAAGAAGATTGAATAAATTAAAAAAGTGTTCTGTATGTAAATTAGAAAAAGAATACAGTAAAGTTTATACAAAGTCTAGGAAATCTGATGAGCACTACTATTAATGTGAAAAATGCTTAAGAGAAAAAGTACAATGTTCTTGTAGATCCATAGTAAATAAATATTATTTGAAATATCATAGAAATAAATATACACAATCAGAATTTAAATCCATATGATAACTATGAATAAGATCCACTAAATATCTCTTTTAATTATATGATGATAGAAAAACGTTTTTATTTTTTATTGTATATAGTGTATATTCGTTTGACTCAATATTATACATACCTTCATACTTCTTCATCATTCAATACAGTGTTTATAAATATCGCATTTAATTTTCTCTATATTTCTAATACCTTTAAATACCTTTTTTCATTATTATCCGTTTTAAATGCATAAATTTTTGATTTTAATCCTACAAATTTCCGAATTGGTAGAGCTAAATATCCATATTTAAATTTTCCAGATATTTTATTGTTTGCTTGAGGTAAGATTCCAAAAATATCCATATGCTTTAGATAATATCAAATAAAGTTTCTCGAAAACTTCACTATTTTTCGTCTTAATTTGTTAAAAAACGCCTTTTCTGAAACGATCAAAATCCACTTTCTCAAAAATGGCTCCAATTTTGTTCTTTACTTTTTTCTAAGAGATAGCGGCAGTAGCACTGTATAAGATGACAAAGATTTAATTTTGCTGTATTCTTTTATTTTATAAAGAGCATTATACAAATGTAATTTTTCGATAGATCTCTCATGCTGTTAATATGTACATTGCCACCGATTTTGGAACACTATTGCATTTGTGACTGGAAGTACTTAAAATGACATCATATGAAGTATTTCGAATTTCATTAGTTTTCTGCGAAATGAGGTTCAAATTTTGAATTTACAGTAGTACTATAACCCATTTTCTAAAAATCGGCTCCAAGTTTTTTTAAAAAAGTCACGTGAGCAGAATCACGCTCAGCCACGTAACAGAATTGAACTTTTATATTTCCCACAATTTGCTTTTACAATGAGGACGCACAGAATTTTAAATGTATATTCGCGAGGCCGCTCATACTTCAAAACCGTGACGCAGTGTTGTTTCTAACGGCGCATCCACACTCCACACAGCCGTGTTACTGGTCGGTTTAACGCACGGCCGATTTATATATTTTCATGCATTTATAACACAAGCTGTAATTCGTAATGTACAAAATACGATTGTCGTGTAAAAAGTACGATAGACGTAAAGTCATAATTGTAAGATGGCACTAAGAAAGAGTATTCAACTGCAGCATTGACCTTGAAAAACACTTTTCATTTGTTACATAATTGAAGTACAGCTGCGAAGAAGATGATGAGGCACACAATTTCCTTGGAAGTCACATGCTGTAGCTTTGCCATCGTAATGTAGTAGATACGATGAACTCACACGCCAATGAATAATTCTAAGAAATACTCACCGGAGTACCTAGAACGTTTGCTAGGCGACTTTCTTCATCTTCATTTTTCTTGCTTCGTATCAATAGAAAAATCTTTTCTATTCCTGGACATGACCAGAGTAACTTTTCAACCAATACTTTGCCGATAAATCCTGTAGCGCCGGTAATAAAAACTGATTTTCCTTCATAGAAATCTGCTACTGAAATGTTGTCCTCGGTGTCGGATGAAGCCATATTACACAATTCCAAAAAATGAAGTAATTCTGTAAAAAAAACATTGTTGTAGACTTATTTAACTAGTGATTTATTCGGTTTCATTCAAATCTATCAATTACATCAAACATTTTCAAATCAGTGCTATATCGGGAATGGCTCAGTTACATCCGTCTCTACAGCATCCCTGACATGGAGATTCTGAGTTTAATATCCCAACGGAGGTGGATTATCGACACTTGCCAAATAGTCGGATCGGAAGTCGCTATCTGGAGTATTCTCGCGACCGACTGTTCATGTGAGAGGTTTGCGTGGGTTCTCCAATTAAGACCAGAGGAATGCAGGAGTAATTCCCTAACAATAGGGTCGCCGACTGCATCGAGTATTTTCTTCCTTATCCTTGTCCACTCCTGTTCCCTTTCTCTCTCTCTCTCTCTCTCTCTCTCTCTCTCTCTTTCTCTCACTCATTCACACACACATATACCTACTACTACATGCCACATGTCGGGAGAGTATTCACTAGCTTAGAGCACGTTCCGAATGGGGCGGTGCTCTATAAGGGGTGATACCTGGTGTTGGAAACCCCGCAAGCCGACTTGTAGGAGGGAGCTGGATTGCACGTTCCAAGGGGAGGAGCGCAGCCACCGTCTGGCTAAAACTTGCACATTTTTTACTTTCCCGTATACGTAGGTATGTATGGAGTAATATACGTAGTATAGGCAAGTTATTTAATGTTGCAGAAAATCGATTTCGAGATTTCAAGGGAAATTTTGGGATCCCCTGATACCGAAAAAAATGTTAAATTTTACAAAACGTCCGTCCGTCCGTTTGTCTGTCCGACCGTCTGATGAATGTGAAAAACACTATCGCTTAAACAATTCCTACAATTTTTTCCACACTGAAGAAACCCCTGTCCAATCGGCTTGAGTCGAAGCTCCGCGATTTTGAAAATCATTCATTAGTTTTTAGGGAGTACATTACATGCAAACCTCCTGATATTTTCAAAATTTTCTCAAAAAATATTCCAATTTTTTCTTTAAATTTCTTGCAAAAATAGAGTAAAACGTACGTTTAAATCTGGAATAGGTCTGATTTTCCCGGTTAACTTTAAATTTTCGGAAATTTCAATAGTTTGAATTTTTTCGGTATCTTCCTACAACAACAAATAAAAGATAGACATTTATTCTTCGAATAAAATTTGTTGTCCACAATTTCTTCTTTCATTAAGATCGTGTACATTATTTTGAAAATTTAGTTGTTTTCGTGCAAAATTGTGCAATTTGTGCCATTTAAAAAAATTACAAACAAGATTTTTTTTAATTGCTGCTAAATTTTTTCTTTAAACTTTTGGTAAGGATTGTGCTAAATGCAATCTATAAGATAGCATAAACGTAATATTGCTTTATTCTTTTGTTGTTTCAAAAATTACAAAAATGACTGACTTGTCTCTCACGTTGTTAGTATTTACATTAGCAGCAATTGGCTCACATTATTATATTGATGAATACGTGTGCTTTAAATAATGTCACATAAAGCTTCTCGAAAATCAGCCATTTTCTGTCAAAACTAGCTCTCAAATTTCGCAATTTCAGAAATGCTCAAAAGTTATTTTCCCATAAATAAGCTTCAAACTCTTCGAAAGAATAGAGCTAATTGCAGTCATTAATATGAGGTAATGTTTATTTCGGGGTATTCTTTTTAATTTTTTCAAAAATTACATAAATATAATTTGTTTGAAAGATCTCTCACGCCGGTAATATGCACATTTCCAGTAATTTGTAAACACTATTGTATTTGTGAGTTAATGTGCATAAAATGATTATTTTCGAAAACTCAAAAGTCTTCTGGGCAAATGTACTTCAAATTTACATTTTAAAAACTCATAAAAGCAACCGGGACAGATGGCTCAGAGCATTAACTGATGTCACTGCAGTCCCTCTGAGTGGGAGGTCTTTGTGTTGAGTCCCGATGGTGGTTGGGTTTTCGACACTAGCTCGTCAACTAGGTCTAATTCAGTCGCTGTCTGGAGGGGAATTCTAGCGTCCTACTAATCTGATCACTAGTTTTCCTTGGTTTCGCTGATCCACACCAGGTGAATGACGAAGCAGTACCCTAACAAACGGTACACGGATTGCACGCGATCTCACCTTCCTCATCCATGTCCTTTCTGCATCCCTTACTTACACACACGCTAAAATGCACTACATTACCATACATGCCGAGTGACCGGTCAGGAACTTAAGAGCTTGTCCCGACTTGGGCGGTGCCCCGTTGGTGGGAGATATCTGTTTAGGGAAAACACCGTTAGCCGACTGTAGTTCAACGCCAGATCTCGCCAAACAACGGGGGATATATCACTGCCACATTCCGAGGAAAAACATGCACAACACTTATGGGACTCCTTATCCTGGTAGTTGACGTGCCCGGAGTCACTAAACAATCAATCAATCTTAAAAACCGATCCAAGTTTTTCCAAGAAAATGGCCTTATAGGACGATCTTACTGTTATTTAATATTATTAAAATAATGTACCGGCTCTACTTCGTATAGCGAAACCGAAAAATTAAGAAAATATAAAAAAATGTACTTTGGGCAACAGATGGCAGCTGGCAATATTATGCGGCAAGTTCGTCTAACTAGCCGAGACCAAAGAAAATATAAAAGCCGGAAAGTCTTTGCCTTTCCATAGCACTAGTTAAACACAAACTTTCGGGTGAAATTCTGTCTTCCCAACCATGCAAACAAGGTTGGACACCCTTGGATTGGGCGTGGCGCATTAATAGCTAGTCAGAACCTTGTTGCCTGTGTGATTGGCGCAAATCCCATGGGACGGGAGAGAGGCTGTTCGTGGAGGCGGGGCATCGATTGTTTACGTATGGGGCAAAAATATCGTCATGGCTCGAACAGATTTTGCCTGCACGTACCCCATAACGGAAAATATTACTAACCGGGTATGTTCGCTCGCGTATTGTCGATAGATCAGTGATTTAATAGCACTTTAGCAACAATTATACTAACATGTAGCAATCAATTTGCGACTCCTACTAAAACTGCTCTTTTGAAAATCGGACACAATTTGGAGACTCTCCCCAGCTGTTTTAGCGCACATTTCGGAATGGTTTAATGATTGTTATTTGTTGCAAAATTGTTAATTAGGGTTTTTATGTTTTGGAACATCAGTGGATACTCCCCGCTTTAGAGAGGTAAAGTTTTGAAATTCTTTTACAAATTTCCAAATGTTGCTAATTTTGTTGTCTCCTCTATATCCCTATTAAACACAATACAAATTTCACAATCCGATCGGTAATATCTTCCGTTCTTGAAACTTTAATTGTTTATTAGAATTTTGCATTTCATAACCATCCCCTTTTTTTGCACTCATTTCATTGGCTCTCCGCACTCATGTATACTTAAAAGAGAACTTTGCAATATCTCGATTCGTTTGTTTGCTTCATGTCGAGCCCGGAGGCAATATCACGGCCTCGACAGCGCCACGAAGCGATAAATGATGACTACGTTCCGTGGTTAGGATTAAGGAAGATTTCTTTTAAAATTATATTCCTCAAACAAATTAAGCGATGCGGCATTGCGATTTAACAAAATTCTGGTAAATATTCAAATATTAATACCCGTCCTATGGCGGTATCGTCGTAGGACATTACGTTAATAGTGCAAGCAAAATAAAAATATTTAAAAAATGGCATTATAATTTAAACTCATGACGAATTAATACTTTCTACCAAGAGGACGAATCTAAATACACGAATGTGAATCTAACCTAATGGCATTGTTTTTCCCATTTCCCATTTTAAATACTGCCAAAACGCCATAAAACTCATCCTTTTCCAGACTATTATATCGTCAATTTGATAAATATAAATGTCTAATATATTGGTGAAAAACTAAAATAGATAAGATGGGATTATGTCATGCCCCCATTAGAAGTTTTAGATTTTAAAAATGTTGGGCTGATGAAATTAAAGAAACTACGTATGAGTGGTTAAGTTGAATGACTAAAATACTCGTAATATGCTCAAACTTAATGCGGCTGGCACGTTTCACCAATGCCACCAAGCTCCACACCTCAGTCCTTTCGTTACCGACGACAAAAAAAGATGAACATTTGCAGTTTTAAAAATTCGGTGTTTCAGTTACATACATTCAAAATCTATTTTTAGAAACTGATTTCATTACGGAAAAAAATACCGTCAATATCATATTCCGACGAAGTTAATTTTGTTTGAATTTTTCTAAAATTCTGATTGTTTGCAAAAATTGGACCTGCGTTCTTTTTAAAGTCTTTCGCTCTATTCAAGGAAACGATTTAAAGGAAACCATTGGACCTATTTTTGAGGAATTTCGAAAATATGTTGGGGCTTGATGGTAAGTACCCTCAACATTAAAAAATCCGATTTAAATTCAGAGATTCTTGTCATTAGCCAAATCATTTGAGGAATATCCATTTTGATAAAAATCCTATTTACTTTAGGCTCTAGTTACTCATACGTAAACGAACTGCCAAAGATAAGGTTTCAGAAACGTTCTTGAGAGATTTGATAAGACATATATATAGTATATTTTAATATATATATATATATCTAATAATAAAACTGTGCGTTTAACCTGAACTGTATTATTATTAAATAATATTTCCAATAGTCCACACATATAATTTAACTGAAAACGCATAATATCGATTTACCAATTAAACATTCGCTTAGTTACAAATATTATTGACCAGGACTGAAGAAAGCCGACAAGATTTCACAAAATATGTTTCAAGCCTCTTATACTTTTTCTTTTTATTCTATTTCTTGATCATTTCTTGTTTTTTTATTGATCATTTTTGACGACGTTTTAGGTAAACAAAATCCATCGCTTCGTTATTATGTTTTTCCACCCTAGGGACACTATATACATGCCCGACAGTCGAGCGTGGTCGTTAAATTAAGATAGTGTCTTATTTATTCGCCCAAAAGTTTTTGCGAGATCTTTACGTATATTCGGAGTAATATACGTAATTTAGAGAAAAATATGTAATGCTGTGGAA